GTCCTCTGCTCTGGATCTGTTCCTCTGCTGTAGAACCGGTCCTCTGCTGTAGAACCGGTCCTCTGCTCTGGATCTGTTCCTCTGCTCTAGAACCGGTCCTCTGCTCTGGATCTGTTCCTCTGCTCTAGAACCGGTCCTCTGCTCTGGATCTGTTCCTCTGCTGCAGAACCGGTCCTCTGCTCTGGATCTGGTCCTCTGCTGTAGAACCGGTCCTCTGCTCTGGATCTGTTCCTCTGCTCTAGAACCGGTCCTCTGCTCTGGATCTGTTCCTCTGCTCTAGAACCGGTCCTCTGCTCTGGATCTGGTCCTCTGCTGTAGAACCGGTCCTCTGCTCTGGATCTGGTCCTCTGCTCTAGAACCGGTCCTCTGCTCTGGATCTGKTCCTCTGCTVHAGAACCGGTCCTCTGCTCTGGATCTGTTCCTCTGCTCTAGAACCGGTCCTCTGCTCTGGCTGATTTGAAGCCGATGGATTTTAGAACCAAAGTTTAGAGAGTAAAACTTGAAATCAGAGCTTTTCTTCAGGTTTTTGTGCCAAACTCGGAGCAAACAGCTATACATCCTGTCTTTGTTCCCATGGTGTGAGAGGCCAGAAAGGTCTTTGTTGTGAAACAGTGCCCGGCTTATGTCTCCAACAATGTGATTATTTGTCTTTTTGCTCCTTTGTGTCCCCTCGCGGTGTCCATAACGTGTGAATTGTAAAGGCATTGTTGTGCGTTTTGGTGGAGGTGCGACACATTTTTCACATTTCAATGTGCAGCAGCTCCTCGGAGAAATGTGTCATGGTCGTGTATATTACCCCCCGAGGACAAACCAGTGTCACTTTTCACACACACACTCACACACACTCACACACACATGCACACGCACACACACACATGCACACACACACACACACGGTGTTGTTACATGACACCATCTACTCTTTCATGAATGCAGCAGCACACACACAAAGTGACAAAGAAAGACATTTTAAGGATGGAGGTTTGGAGATTACTCTGATCTGTCTCACTTCTGTGACATGAAAGTCCTCAGTGGACAGGACCAGAACCGAGTCCATCAGAGGGACGGCTCAGAGGAGGACAGGTTCATGTAGGACAGAGTATGCACTTAAAAAAGAGACAGACAGGTGAAGGACAAACGAAGGTTTCAGGCCTAAAGTTCTACCTGCAGAATGTGAAATCCTCTGTTTTTGGTTGTTCTGCAGCAGAGTGAGTCTCTGCAGGAGGTGGTCCATCCTGGTCCTGGAGGGCCACAGTCCAACATGTTTCACATGTTTCCTGCT